ATCTATCTTTGCACACAGGCATTGGAATAAGGTCCTCTGATCCAGCAGCAGCTGAAACACAAAACTTGAGATACACAGAACTTTATTTCCTTTTGTCCGTATTGGATTATGTTCGTTCTGTGCAATATCTACGAATGAGTATATCATTCTTAGACCCTTAGAAAACGGCACAAATGTGACTTAGGTATGTGTGCTGGTTTTTTTTGGATAGAAGAGATTTTTCTCCAGGTTACGGAAGAGACGGGAGTTTCACAAAAGTACCGTGGCAGCAAAGAGGCCATCGAGTCGCTTTGGAATCAGAGAGAGAGCTGTCTCTCTAACAACGCACACGCTGCTTTTCCCTCCTTTTAATTTCTACGCCCTAACGGCACAAATAAAGGAGCCTGTGACAGGAACGCAGGGTTATGTGAGGTGAGATCTGCACTCCTTGCGTCACTGCTGGTGCCATAAGGCCGGCGCGGGCAGTAGGCGGCGGGGAGGGCGGCCCCCGCACAGCCGGGGGTGCGGGAGGGCACAGCCCCGGGGGTGCGGGAGGGCACAGCCCCGGTAGTACGGGCTGATCCCGCCCTCCGGCGAACCCCGCACTTACAGAAAGTAAAATATGTTCTTTTCCCACTGCCTAGAGGGTAGGAAAAACTGATGGAAGCTTTCACAGCTTCCCGAATATTTCATCCCATCCCAAATATTTGAGCTGAGCTCTATGGAAAGCAGACGGGTAAAATCATTTTGTGAGTAGGCACAGGCCTGCCTATAGCATCTTTTACTCAGGCAGGTTGGATAAAAATAATAAAGCAGTTCCTCCCCCAGGTGAAAGTTTAAGTTTCTCCATGAATGTAAGAACTACGCTACATAAGCAGTATATAGAAGGTTTCTTTAGGCTGTAAATGGCCAGTAGGAATTGCCGTGAAATCCCAGCTTTGGGGGTTGCAGATTTTCACTCACACTTGTAAAAGGAGGGACTCAGGAAATACACTTATAAACCAAAGAGCAGAGGGGGGATACTGTAGGGACGGGGAAGACTGCAGGAGCAACCCCTAGCCCTGAGTTAATTTAAAGCTATAAAACGTTTGGGTAAGGTTATGCCTAAACCATATCTTGCCTTTCCCAGTTTCCGGGCACAGTTAGGGGCTCCACCTGCACCACACAGATAGCTGTTACTGGGGAATGACACTTCTGACTCGAGGCCAAATCACCCAGATGCAAACCCGGGTCACAGATCATCAAGAAAACCTTAATGGTCACCTTAAAATTAATACAAATACAGAAATGAGTATCGCTTAATGGAACTCTTCGCATTGCCACTGCAAGTATACATTTACATCATTTGTAAATATTGTAAATATAAATTTACATAATATGTAAAACAATTTTAAAAATACAGTTTAGATTCCAGTACTGATTTTTGGAGAAACCAAATAATTCAGAATATTCTATATTTCAGGGATTTCCAAAATTGACCACAGAGTTCCCCTTCGTGAGCTGTAATTACACTGTTTCATTATCTATTATGCATTAACAGTGTCTAATTTATTACACTGTTGCTTGCTGAATAGTTTGTTTCATGTGCATTCTGCATGAATAAAGTTCCTCTTAAAACAAAGCTGAGTAAAGCAGCACTGTACATCAGAGTGGTGGTTAAAAAGTATTCCATCTGCATATCATGTAACAGATGTGAAATGTAACTTGCAGAAAATTGTCCTTTTTATAAATCAGATTAAAGGTCTTTTAGCTCCACATACAAGTGTGTCTAATACAGTCAGATCTCTCTTTCTTAGAAAGGTTCCAGGATTTCAGACAAATTATGTATAATGTCAGAGCAAGGCAGTCTTCCATCAGGGGGAAATACTTGCAAATCCAAGCTGAGTATGTTTGAGATAAATTGGGTTTAAACTAGCATTTTTACATGGCTGCTGTGACCAAAGCAAGGCAGTTAGTAGATGCAGCAAAGAATTTGCCAACTGGCTGGAAAGAAAGCTTTCCAAATGTCTGAATGACAGCTTACAATTCCAAACACACCACAGCGTCCCATCTTGCTTGTAAACCTTTCTTGTGTAACAAAGTATTACAGTATATTCCATTTATAAACTCATGGAAAACTTCTGTTATGTTATTTCAGACTCAGATTATTAGGACTGTGCAGATATTTTCCTAGGTTATTTTTAAAGCAGTGACTGAACAGTCACATCCTTTGTAATTTCTACATTTCCCACTTCCATTTAAGTTTTTCAACAATCAGATTTGTATTTGCACACTACATGTATTTTATTTTATAATAGACAATTATATCCTTTCAGAAAGGAGAATTCCATTTGACTGAAAAACCCCCAAGAAACAAGATTCAAACCTACTATGACTTCTAATGTCAGTGCAAGTAATTTTCAAAATATTTTGCATTTTATATACACCACATTCGAACACCACATCCAAACACCACAACTATCTAAGATAGAGTTTTTTAATAAATGGCCTAGTCAAAGTTTCTCCCCCTTGTTGCTCCTCTCACATACTTTCTGGAATGGCCTTGAGCAGTCTCCAAAACATTGAAAATTTACTGCTTATATTTAGAGTAGGAACCAAACTTTAGATTTACAAATTCTAGCTTAACACAACACTGAGAAAGACCCAATCATCAACATCAAGAGTTCTTGGTCTAATACAAATACAGGACTGAATACTTATATGTCTGATAAATTTCTACAAGCTTTTTGAAAAGCACTGGATAAGAAAGATGATGCTTTTTGATTCACCGACTTTATAAAACAGACAGATATGGTTTGCTTTGTATCATTGCAATCACTCAGTGGAATATTTTTTTCCATTTTCGAATGATTACAATTTTCATCTATCATTTCGTTTAGAAAGTTGAATCATTCTTCCTTTCTAGTAAAAAGTATTTGTTAATGCAATTCAATTAGGTTTCGCATTTGGCACAAACCTCCCCTCCAGCTTTTGGAGATTACTTTATTTAACCGTGTTTTTTTTTGCCGTTGGAATATCAGTTATTCTTCAGTAAGCAAATGCATGTGTGCCAAGCATATCATTAACTGACCTGATTAAAGATCAGAAAAGCAAGTACTAGGTCTAATATTGCTTGGATGCCACCAAAGGGTACATTATAGATTGAAATACTTCATTTGATCCATCAGTTGTTTTGTTATGAGTATCACAGTCAGTAAAATGAATCCATTAAAAAAAATGAATTCAAAGTCCATTAGTATTAAGATATTGTTCAAATGAGAGCAGTAGATTTATAACAACTGAAACAATGTCAAGTGAGAATGAGAGACCATTGCCTAATTTTGATGATTATACATTCCAGCTTTAATCATCTCCCAGACAAGATTTACCCATTTCTAAAAATAAGTATTCATAATACAGATATATAGTTAGGGTTTTCTTTATCTTACTCCATTCCTCAGTAGATGTTGACATGCATTTCCTTTTGTTAAAATAGACTGCAAAAGAGCAGTCTGAATACCATGTATACTGGAATAATAATGAATTTACCACTTTTACCAAAACAATAATCTCTAAATAGGGCTTAAAGGGAGTTAAATGCGTAAGAGATACACAGTATTTAAAAAATAATATAAAGAAATGTAATCACTTGTATCTTCGTAGTAAAAGGAAGGGGACAATTTTTTCTTGTATAGTAAGATCAAAAAGATAAAAATAAATACATTTTTCCACAGTGCAAAAATTTACCTGAGAGAACTACTGCTTTCTACACAAAAGAAGTGAAGCCAAACCTAGACGGCTTCAGGAAGAACTGACTTTTTATAACAGGAGACACTCGCACTACTTTCAATACAGTGTATAAAAGTATAATCCACCCACAAACTGACCTGGCAGAAAGACTCCTTCATGGGCCAGATGGCAAGTGTTTAACAAGGTGCTGACTGGTATCCCTGGGGTGTTCCAAGTCTGTATGCAAAGTTTAATGCTTCATGTTTTGCAGGTGCTAATAGAAGCCTACATGTTGCAAATATACTATTTCATTGTCGTCAGCTTAGTGTGACTTCCGTTTCCCACAGACACATGTGAATTGTTCATGAAGAGAGCAGAAATGGGGCATGAAAATGGACTCACTAGTCAAATGAATGTTCTGAACACAGTTTGTAAAATAACATCGTAGCAATTGCTTCTGCAACATGTGAGAAATGTGGTTTTTTGTTAATTGATTTCTTATGAATTTGTTACCGTTACACTATTCTGACAATTCATCCTGATGTTATTACAGATCTTGCACGTATTTTCTTAATGCTCTAATTACTATAGATGCACTTAATAAGTTATGATCTCAGTTTGCTTTTAAAGGTTTCCAACTTTATACGAAAGGAAAGCTCATTTAAACAGTCATGGCCCCCTAGAACAAGTGCCCTACGTCCTTACAGACTTGTACTTCAGTGCTCATAGAAGCTTCTTCTTTGTTAAGGCATTTTTAAGGTCTCCCTTCTGTGTCTATTCTCTGGCCTTCATAAAATGTGAACTCACATGCAGTGTTTTCTTTACTCGGGGCATACAGAGCTGCCTGTTTCCATGAAATAAAACTGTAGAGACTCAGTTATCTTTGAGACCGTTATTTTTTTCATTGCGGTTGGCAGAAAGCCAGCAATAGTGCAGGAGGAAATTCTTTCAGGCCCTTGCATCGCATGGTTAGAAGAGAGACTAAGTCAAGTGTGGAGTCAAGACCCATTTGCCAAGCTGCAAAGAGGAAGCCAAGAAGCCATGGGATACCTGAGTCTAGCAGGCAGGGTACAATTATGATTAGAGGGCCACTAAGGAACCCCAACTGCCAGGCAAACTCTGTCATGGGAAGCAGGCAAGTTTGGGCAAGTTCAGGCAGGTAGTTGGGAGAAGGACTTGGGGAACAGGAGAAAAGCAGCAAGACTAACAGATAAGCAATCAACGGGTGCACTAGAATGGCCAGCAGCAACAGGTGTCCTTTACTCATCTATCATATGGGCAGGGCAACCGTGAGTCAGAATACAGACACTTACAGTATGTAGTTTCCTGGGTGGCAGATGGCTTGTCTGGGTGTAGCCTGGCAGCAGCTGATGAAGACACTCAGATTTACTGTGAGAGAAACATGCACATGCAGCATAAGCTTTTTTTCCAAGCTAAGAAATGACGTCTATTTTTTAAAAGTATTATTATTATATTTAAATGTTTTTTTAAAAAATTATTTTGGATGGCTAACTCATTTTCAAGTGCTTTGGATTGGTACATGACTCATACAACAGCTGTGGCCACAATTCTTAGCTTTTTTATGAATACATGAAGGTGATTGTGTTGATACTAGTATCAGAGTCAAAATATCAGGCCTTAGACTTTGCAAACTTTTGCAACTCTTCTTTGCAACTTAAACTTTGTAAGGTCAATTACGTTCTTTTCACATCCACTTCTTTACTAGCTGTGTGAAGTAAAGGAATTTCTGAAGCCAAAACCCCCTGAGGTTTATCAATGGAGCATTTCTTCATAGAATCATAGAATCATTCAGGTTGGAAGAGACCCTTGGGATCGTCGAGTCCAACCATCTACCCTACTCTACAAAGTCCTCCCCTACACCATATCCCTCAGTGCCCCATCTAAACGTCCCTTCAACACAGCCAGGGATGGTGACTCAACCACCTCCCTGGGCAGCTTGTTCCAATGCCCGACCACTCTTTCTGTGAAAAATTCCTTCCTAATGTTCAATCTAAACCTACCCTGTTGGAGCTTGAAGCTCCAGCTGTTCTGTCGTTAATTACCTGTGAGAAAGAGACCAGCACCAACCTCTCTACATTTTCCAAGCTGGGAGGATGTACGGGGGACAGCACACTTGCCACAGAACTACCTGATCCTTCCCATGTTTTGGGACATCTACCTTTATACCCTGCTTGTCTTTTTACACAAAGGACCTTGTTCTTCAGTTCACTGCATTCCCAGTGCTTCTCCGCACTGTAAAGATACTTTTATGTTTAAATGTATTCAGATTGGATTCCAAGCATTAAAACTCAACCATAAATGTCCCCAAATCTTTCAGCTTCAGGGCCTTAAATCTCTCAAAATAAGGTAAAATTATGTTACATATTAAGATCCTCATTCCTGCTGAGTCATTCTTGTTTTGACCTTCAGTTATTTGTCTTGGGCTCTCTACCTGGTAAGTTTAATATTTCTTTTAGAAAAGTATACACAAGCACCTGAACCGTGCTGCTACACTGAAGGGCTGACATTGTTGACAACATTTCTGACAGGGATATACCGTCAGCAAACTTACTTATGGGGTGTCATCTTTGCCTCGGGACGTTCCGGTCTCGAAGCAAAAGTTTCCTACAATAACGCGCCTTCTGAGGAGGAGTTTTGAAACAAGCGCTTGCGAAGGCGGCACTGGCTGAGGCGAGCTCAGGCGGGCTGAGGTGGCTCGGGGCCGGGCCGAGCCGGGCCGGGCCGGGGCGGCGCGCCCGGGAGAGCTCCCTCCCACACCGGCGAGGAGACATGTGACAGCGCGACTTCTCTCTTGAAGCCTCCGAAGGGGAAGGGACCGACTCGGATCCTCCGGCTCCCACCGAGGAAGCGGTCCCGCCGCCGCAGGTGCAGCGCTCGGACCGGCTGCCTCCTCCCCGGGAGGAACGAGCCCCGCCGCCCCGAGCGGGAAATCTCCTCACAGAGGTACGGACAGGGCGCGCGCCCCTTCCTCGCCCCGCCCCCTCCCCTCAGAGCCGCCGTTAACGGCTCCCCGCGCCGCTCACCCCCCGTGCCGGGGCTGGGCGGAGCGGCGTGAGGCGGAGCGGCGGGGGTCGCCCCTCACAGCTGGCGCTTCGCCCGGCGGGAGGTCGCCAGCCCACAGAGCCGCCGCCGCACCCCTCCCGCCTCAGCGCCCTCCTTTCGCCTCACCCCCCACCCCCCCCACC